ACGATGTGGGTGCCTCAGGCCAGCCCCTGCCCCGGCTCCCGATGGTCCGGATGTTCAGGGCCAGGGGCTTCACCCGGCCCCTCACCCTGCACTGGAGCAGCTTTGCGAGGTGGCTCCGGATGTCTCTGCTGTACAGGGCGTAGATGAGGGGGTTGACAAGGGAGTTGGTCTCGCCCAGCAGGAACAAGGCATCCAAGAGCGGGCTGGCCAGGCTGCAGGAGCTGCAGGCAGCAGGCAGCCTGCACGGTGCCCCCCACCAGGTAGGGGCCCCAGGTGAGGCTGAAGCCAACGATGACGAGGAGCACAGTCCGCAGCGCCTTGAAGTGGCGCAGGCGGGCACAGAGGGGCCCCGGCGGGGCTGCCTGTGCTGCACGTAGGCGATGCTGCCCACCGAGACGTACAGGCACACCAGCACCAGCAGGGACGGGGCAAAGACGCCGAAGCAGATCACGTAGAGGTACTCACTCTTGGCCACGTGCAGGAGCCCACAGGAGCCTGTGTAATTGCCTCGCTGGAGGGAGGGCAAGATCACGGGCAAGTGCCCAAAAAGGAAGGCAAGCATCCAGAGCACAACAAGGGAGAGGACTATGGGCGTTTTCTTCAGGAGGGTGGGGTAGGAAAGCGGCAGCGTCACCGCCAGGTACCTGTCCAGGGAGATGAGGAGCAGGGTCAGGATGGAGCCGATGCACGGCGTCATGCTCATGGCGATGCGCAGGAGGCAGAAGCACTTGCTGTAGTCAAAAGCCCCATCGAAGATATCATCCAACGCCTCGACGACACTCATCACACCCACCAGCAGGTCGGCGGTGGCCAGGTTGAGGATGTAGACGTAGCTGGTGCCTGGCTGCCTCCTCATCAGCTGGTAGACGGCCAGGATTACCAGCAGGTTGGCTGGTGGGATGAGGCAGCTCAGGAGGGAGTGCAGCACGGCATACAGGACATTGACCATCTTCCCTGGTGAGGAGGGTTGAACGAGATGCCCAGGAAAACTTGTCCCCAGTGCAGAAAAACCCCACCATAAGGAGATGTGTGGCTGAGCTGGAGAGATGAGACAGAAGTGCCTCAGACCCTCCAACTGCAGCCCGGGGCCAGCAGCACCTAAGTCAGTCCTTCAAGGGGCGCTTTGTCCATCCCAGGAGACCTCCAAGACCTTCCCAGTTGCCGCGAGTCGCTGGTGGTTTTTCCAGGGCTCTTGGCCTCCCTCCTACCCATCCGATTTGGCTCCACGCTTGCAGGGGTGCTCCGAGATGCAGAAGACCCAGCGTCCTCACCTGCGCTCAGCACGGACTGTCACAGAGCGGAGCGCCCAGGGCAGGAGCTCAGCGCCCGGGCACTGCTGGCTCGGCCGGCTGCCGGGCACGCCTGTGACGCAGGCGATAAGGAGCTGCTTTGCCAAACAAAGCCAAGATGAGCAGCCAGTGAGGATGGGGACGCTGATGATCCATGCTCCTCCCCGCGTGCCCACGGCTGGGTGGCCAACACACCATCTTCCCTGGGGGACTGCCCCTTGGACATGGGGGGGTGGGGG